ATAAATCACTTGACATTATGAATATCATTATTGCCACTACCCTGTTGCTATTTTTGTTCAAAAGTCCAATATTCAGAGACTGTATTATGAGTTTCTTCAGGGTGGGAAGACTGGATCTTTTAAGCTTTGTATTCCTAACATCTAAACAATGTCTGGCATATAAAAGTGTTTTTTTTTTTTTTTTTTTTTGGTGCTGGGGGCTGAACCCAGGGCCTTGTGCATGTGAGCTCTATCCCTAGCCCCTAAAAGTTTTAAAATTAATGTTTATGTCTAGAAAATATGGCTGAATAAATCATTATAATGTATAACACAAAATCACCATGCTTAGTTTTCCTTCTTTCCCTCCTTCTTTTTCTACTCTTCCAGCTTTCATCCCTTTTAGACCAAAGTTTTAGATTATTTCTAACATCATGTGTTGGGACTGCTTCCCATAATACTTCCTTCATGTTTCCCTCAACCCAGTTTTTAGGGATTGGGGAATGGGAGTCTCACTATCTCATTGTGTTGCCCAGGCTGGTCTTGAACTCCTGGGCCCAAATGATCCTCCCACCTTAGACTCTCAAGTAGCTGGATTACAGGTGCATGCCATCACACCTGGTTTCCAAATTTGTTGTTTTTCAGAAACAGTGTTTTTTCCCCCTAGGCTTTGTCTGTAATGTCCTAAGTTGTTTTAAACATGATGCCTAATCTCTATCTGATTCTGTCATCACCTCAAGTTCTTGCTGGTGATGTCTGCTGACTCTTGCTGTGGTGAATTGTGTTCACCAGGGTCTTGTGGCTTAGCATGTGAGTTCGACTTTGATGGAGATCTAATCTCTGGGCGTCCTGGGTTTCCTGGATAGAGAGCACATCTCTCCAGCTACGTTTTGTTTTAGTGTGTCTTAAACCCCACTTTTATGCCTATTTTCAACTTGAAAGTTCCTGTACTATGAAAGTATCGTAAATTCAGAACCCCAAAACACAGAGGGTGAACTCTGGGATTGCAGATGTTCAGTGGAAACATCTTTGTTTCCCCACTAAAAGCCCAGGACAAGGCGTCTCTTTGTCATCAGACCATGTGAATGTTTGGCTGTTTTCAAGTTTGCCGTTTCACTGCAAGCGTCTTTCCTTGTGTGAAGGGCTCAGTTCTGATTCTCTGCCTGTCTCCTGTCCCCTGTCCTGTGTTAAGGTTGTTAAGTCCCACACCCCTGGTGTATTGACTTCTGCCTCCAGCTTTGGTTCCCAGTTTACTCTCCATTTCTGGGCCTTTCTATTTAATTTCTTATAAGCTCTTTTAAAGAATGTCTACTGTATTTTGTCACATTTTTTTTTCCTAGCATTTCTTTGGGATTATAATGAAAAGGCTTTTAGACTGTTAAGGCAACCTGTAAGATAGTGTTTTTACTTTCATTCTTATCAAGAAAAAAGTTTCCATTTGGGTGCTAGGACACCTAATTCTTTGACATCAATTTGCTCTGTTGGGCAAATTGTACAACCTACGCAGGGCTCACATTTTTTTCCCATTAAACGGTGATAAGGTTGAAGAACACTGTTGTAAAAGGTCTGTCTCCCCTGATAGAAATGTTACGAGGTCAAGAGGCAGAATAGATGAGAAGGCATTATAGAAGAAATAAAATAAAAGCACTCAATAATTTCCAGATAAATTTGTTTTTTCTTCTAGACACCCTAGGGTTATCTTTGACCTTGAACCCATTTTTACTGATATATTATTACCAGTATTTCCTTTTCTTCCAAACCACCTCCTTCTATCATTGTATCTCCTGCTCTATTAGTTTAACTATGGCAAAGTAGGGAGGCCTTGTAGTTAGAGTATGTAATGCAACCTTCTGGCCAATTTCAGCTTATTAAATATGGTGATTACTGTGGCTCCATCATCCACCCCTCAATTTGTGATCCTTGTACACAGCTCAGTTCCTTGCTATAGAACAGGTGTTAGCAACCCTTGGTTAGTAGTGGAAATACACTGTTATTTTGGTTAAGGTCTTTATAGCACATGTGATTTTTTATATTCTGCTGCTTCTGTGAGCTAAACAACTGCTGCCTGAATACAGTTCTTCTCTGAAATTACCTGTCCATGTCACTGAAGGGGAGTGGCAATGACCATAGTTGTCCTGGAAGCTGCAGGGAATCTTTGCATCTTGACAGTAACACTGGGATTCATAAGATTTTTAAAAATATTTTAATATTTATTTTTTAGTTTTCAGTAGACACAACATCTTTATTTTATTTGTATGTGGTGCTGAGGATCGAACCCAGTGCCCCGCGTATGCCAGGCGAGCGCGTTACCACTTGAGCCACATCTTCAGCCCTCATAAGAATTTTTACAATATGATCTCACAGAGCACACCCTTTTTATATTAAAGAAAATTTAGCTTGAACAAGTTGTTTCATATCAGTAAAGCTAGAGTCAGTAAAGCCAGTCATATAATGACAGACCAACCAAATTTGCAAGGCAGGGAGAGATGTTGGAATTTTCTTGACTTTTCATTTAAGGCCAAGTTTTCAGAGCATTGACTTTGCTTCAGGTCAAATGAAGTCATAATTTGGGTTGGAATAGTCCTTGTTTTAATCACTTGGGCAAGGTTGAATTTGTTGAACCAAACTCTGGATCTAATTCAATTCACAGAAGAACATATAATTATATAACTTTTATCCCAAGCCCCAGAAGTAAATTTTAAGTAGATATAATGAAGATTCAAAGGGAATGTGGAGTTAAAATGGAAATTTCTTAGGTATACCAATAGAATAAAAAGGAATAGAAAATATTTGTCTGATCCTGGTCTCATTTGTATAGTTCATTGCATAAATGAGTATATTTGATTCTCAAATAAGCAAATGCACTTTCAATCTTTAGTTTCAAAGACAGGGTAATGCAGTGTTATAGGTTTACCATGATCATGTATCTGACTGAACTCTCAAGTGCATATCATTATTTTATACTTATATGATTGCCTTTTTTTAGTTTTTTTTAATTGGTAGTGGACACAATACTTTTATTTTTATTTATATGTGAGGATCGAACCCATTGCCTTCCACATGTAAGGCAAGTGCTCTACCACTGAGCCACAACCCCAGCCCCATGATTGCTTTTTTGGAGGGGGCAATACTAGAGATTGAACTCAGGGGCACTTGAGCACTGAGCCACATCCCCAACCCTATTTTGTACCTTATTTAGGGACAGGGTCTCACTGAGTTGTTTAGCATCTCACTTTTACTGAGGCTGGCTTTGAACTTGTGATCCTCCTGTCTCAGCCTTCCAAGCCTCTGTGATTTCAAGCATGTATCACCATGCCCAGCTATGTGATTGCTTTATTTCCCCTTGCCCATAGCAATTGTCTACAGCCATTCATAGACAACATAAGTTTCCATCTAATTCAAATTCATCTTTTTATCCACTTAATGTTAGTTCATCTCTTCATAAAACCATTTTCCAGAACCTCCAACAAATGGCCAGATTGGATGATCAATTCTTGTCACATCCCCTGTCTGCCGTCTGCTTTAGATATTAGTGAGCCATGAAGAGTGGAGGGCCTCAATAGTCAGAGCATAAAATAATATCCTTGGGCTAGTCAAGGGTTGGTAAGTTGATTGTATAATTAAGTGATAATGGAAATGGTGATTAAAATCAATAGTGAATCCAAGAATCTGGAAACCAGAACACATGCTGGTTTTAGGAGAAACCATAAAGATGTAGCATCCAGGCTTTGGTCACCATTGTCATGGAGTAGTTGATGGAAGTTTGTGGAAGAAGCCAGGCATGTAGACTAGTTCAGTTCAGCCAATTTATGCTAAACACCAGCTCTGATGCTACTGTGAGAATAAAGGGGAACAAGAGCCGTTCTTTCCCTTCAGAAAGTTTCAGTCTTGGAGGAAAGAGATCACACACATATCTATGCTGATGACAAGAGTGCCCACGGATGGTGCACTAGCCATGCGCCTGCTTCTGCTTACCTGGGCTTTATTTGCTCACATTATCTGGACTCCTCTTATCAGCCCTCAAAGGTAGATAGTATTATCTTTAATTGCAGGTGGGGAAGCTGTATTTTTTTCTCTGCATGTCATCATGCTCTCACCCTATCTTTGTATTGTGTCTCTCAGCACAACGTGTTAAGTGCCTGTCCAAGGACAGAAACTGGGGTCTTATAGGTAAAGGTCAGACCTTAGCTCTGTTACTTACCTTTGAGGTTTTGAGAAATTTATCAATCTATCTGAGTCACACTTTTCTCATCTGTAAAACAGAAACTAAATCTGCCTCCAGCTCTCAGCTTAAATATCAACATCCTTAGAAAGGCCTTACCGCTTTTACTCCCATCTCTATAATCTCCAAGTCCCGTTTTGTTTGAAATCGCAGTCTCTAGCACCACATCTGAAATGATCTCATAGGTTGTTTATTTATGTGACTATTGTCAGCCTTCCCACTGGAATGTACAGTTCATGAAAGCAGGGACCAGGCCTGTTGTGGTCACCCCTCTGACCCCAGAATTTGGTTTTGGCTGAGAGTAGGCATCCCATCAGCACTACGCAAAGGGGCAGGAGTCTAGGCAACAGTGGATAAGGACAGAAAGGAGAAAGTGACTGTACTTAAGTTTCATGGCCTTATGAACAATTCCACTGCGTTTCCTCAGAAGGAAAGTAAATCTTTGAAAGTTTTGCACTTTGTTGCTAAGGTAGGTTTGGAAAAATATATATTTTTTACCAGACTAAACATCTGAAAATAAATTGAGGCTCATCATCTAGTACATAATGGTCCATCCTTGACCTGATCTGGGCCATAATTAGGCAAATGTTATGCACAGACACAAAAAAATGGAATCTTTTGTGCATGTGACCATGGTGTATGCTAAGAGAAAATTATAACCAGACTCACCTCAGTTTGTGTTTGGCCTTCAAGCTCATTCCACAAGCCTTAACGTCAGAGGGAGCCACATGTTTTACCATCTACAGAAGGCACCTCCTGCTGCCAGTGACCTGTTGTATAACTTTGACATTGTTTATTTCAGGATTCTGAGAAACGAACCCCTCTTCATGTGGCCGCATTTCTGGGAGATGCAGAGATCATTGAACTCCTGATTCTGTCAGGTAAATAACACCTGTATTCAAATGTCAACTCTAGATAAAAGTTTAATTGACCCATTTACTAGACTGACTACTGCAGTAAGCCCAGACAAAACTTTCTTTATTATATTCATGGAAGTTTATTTGATCAGCAATTTAATCTGTGAAAGAAAGACAATGCAAGTCATGTTTGAAAAATGACTTCTCAAAACAAACAACAACAAAATAGAAAAATGACTTCTCTAGTAAAATACTTATATTACTTTGAACATTCAAATCCTGGCTATCTGGTCAGGTACAGCATTGTGGACAAATGCAGTACATTTGGATATCTTTTGATTGGTATTTTAATTATAAAAAATGAAAACAAGGCTGGGGATATAGCTTAGTTGGTTGAGTGCTTGCTTTGCATGCACAAGGCCCTGGGTTCAATCCCTAGTACCACCACACCAAGAGAGAGAGAGAGAGAGAGAGAGAGAGAGAGAGAGAGAAGAAGAAAACTGGTTTAGAGTCTATATAAACATGTATACTACATACTACATGTGGTTTGTATTCACTATAAATAGATTCTGTATATTTGCACCTTGTAAGTCTTATAAGTACTTAGGCTGAGTATATAAATTTTCTAAATGTAAATGCATACATATGTTTAAATTGTACTGCAAAATAATACCATGCTAGCTTATGGCTATAGGACTGTGACCATGTAATAAAAGTATAAAAATGTGGAAGGTAAGAAACCATGTCAGTTTCTCAATAGTGTCTGCCTGTGAGTAGGCAGGCTGAGTGAGGATGCCTTCAGGGAAGGGCATAAAAGGGACTATTACAATTCCCCATAAAATGTTTTATTTTTTAAAACCTGGAAGCAAATATATCAAACATATTAAATCTAGTTTGTGTGCATACTGTTCTTTGTGATATTATTCTCTTTATTTTTCTATGTATTTAAATGCTTCATCAGATTTTAAAATGCTAATGCTTTTATTTCTGGAAACCTGTTTGCTCAGTACACCTCACCAAACAGGTTTCCAGAACCATTCTGTGCTTTCTCCCTTGAGTGTTTGCTAGACAAATCCCTGGGATGAATCTGAGCGCATGCACATGCATCATTGTAGATTATGTGCAGAGAGGCTATCTTTCTTCTTCCTTGTTTCTGTTTGGGGAGATTAAAATCTAGAGGAAATGCCTCTGCCTATGGACTAGGCAAAAGGCCTTTAATAAGGCTTTGTCCTTGTTTACCATAGTAAAGGAAAGTTGTTGAATTTTAAAGTAAATTGTACCAAGCTAGGAGCTGCAACATGTATTCAAGCGGAAGGGGAGAACACCGTGGGAAAGAATTGTGCTGTGATACACCAGGAAGATTCATGTTACCCTTAGTTTCGTTGTGTTCACATTCTGGATGGAGGTGTTTCCCCAGGAAGCAAGTCATGTGCCTAATGCTCCTGACAGTCATGTGGAACTGGGGTTAGACTTTGAAGAATGTTGTGATAAGACACCTAACAGTCCCAACCTGCTGTACTACCATTCAAATATATCAGTTGAACATCCTTATCTGAAAGTCTAAAATCCAAAATTCAAGACACTTTTGAGTGCCAATATGATGCTATATATGGAAAATTCTATACCTGACTTCATGTGATAGTTGAAGTGCAGGTGCAATAAAAATATTGTGTAAAATTACCTTCAGGCTGTGTGTACAAGGTATATGTGAAACAAATGGATTTCATGTTTAGACTTAGATCCCCCTTCCCAAGATATCTCTTTATATATGCAAATATTTCAAAATATGAAAAAAAAATTCCAAAATTTGAAATACTTTTGGTCTCAGAATTTTTAAAAAAAATTTTTTTTAGGTGTAGTTGGACACATTGCCTTTATTTTATTTACTTATTTTTATGTGGTGCTGAGGATCAAACCCAGGGCCTCGCATGTGCTAAGCAAGCGCTCTACCACTGAGCTACAACCCCAGCCCCTTGGTCTCAGCATTTTGGATAGGGATGTTCAACCTGTGTTAAGAGCTTTCCTCAGCTGGGTGTGGTGGCACATGCCTGTAATCCCAGCAGCCCAGGGAGACTGAGGCAGGAGGATCACAAGTTCAAAGCCAGCCTCAGTAACTTAGTGAGCCCCTGTTTCAAAATAAAAAAATGAAGAAGGGCTTGGGATGTGGCTTGGTCATTAATGCCCCTGGGTTCAATTCCCAGTGAGAGAAAGGAAGGAAGGAAGAGAGAAAGAGAGAAAAGAGCTCTCTCACCATCTCAGAGGAATGTTTGTTTCATGAATGTGCAAATTAAAATTCAAAACTTTGTCTTAGACTCTGTGGTTGTTTCTACATCTGAAAAGGAAGGTTTTATTTCTGCAGCATGAAATGGACCATCTGGGGCTGGTGACTGTTGAGAAACTTGGGTTCACACCACCTTCATGTAGATATAGAATCTCTTCTCCTCTGTGTGGCTGATTCAGTAGGTCTTGGAGAAGCTGTAGCATGTATCTTGATTTATACACCTGTTTGAATTTATATACCCCTTAGAATTACAGAGCTCTTAATGTCTTTGGTATAATTTTGGTTCCACTCACTATGGAATTTTTCTTTCTCCTCCCCATCAAATTAGGAAGACTTAGGGTGTGGACAAGCATTGGGGAAGTCCTTCAGCAATTCAAAAAATCTGAGGTCAACTTTTAGGATTCACATAGTTTTTACTTTCCCTAAGCAGTCCTTTATTCAATTTAAATTTTATATTCATAAAGAAATATCATTGTGAGAGTATAATGATTTCAACTTTTGAGCTTACATCTGGCAGCTGACCCTTTAGGGAATCCAACCACACTATTTTCCAATTTAATAATGAATGAGGTGCTAATGATTCCCATGTTGGACAAATAATTTGGCCTTGCTAGAACAGCCTGTTTCAGCTATATTCTCTGCTGTTGTATAAACTTACAGAGCATGATGAAACCTAAACCCATTGAATTTCTACGGATTTTTTTCTGCTTTTAACCAGATGGATGTAGCCTAAGAGCCCAAGGTCTTGAGGATGAATGGAAGCCTTGCAGATTGCACCTTCTTATCACTGTCAGTCCCCTTCTTACTCTGGCTTCTGTTTGGATCTGACTGAGTTAGGAATAAGGCAGAGAGAAAGCCAATGAGATCAATAAGAACCCATCAGTGATGAGAGTTAAGAGACCCAGGTTGAGATATAGGAAGAGGAGCACACAGAAAACATGACGACAGTAGAGATATCCTGTAGAGAAAACCAAGGTTGGGTAAGGGTTACAGAGTTCTGGGAAGTGTGCATCCTGTAATATGGGAGATTGTCAGGTGTGCCTAAGTAAACAAAACAGTTAATTTATTAGAATTTATGCCACCAAATGAGTGGTAGTCTTGCAGAATTATTTCCTGTGATTTTTCAAAATCTGCTTACCACTTGTGATGCAGCTTGCCTCCAGAGCTAGTGGCGCATCATTTTTTCGATTCCCTTATGCATAACAAATACACATTGTTTGAGGATGGATTTGATATATTTTTTTAATCTGGTGAAAATCAACAATGCTGATTTTGGCTTACAAATGTCATGCAGTTAAAAAGCAATGGACTATTTCTTGTGGGTGTGTAAACTGGCTCTAACAGAAACTCCAAGGGGAGTTTTTTAAAAATATTTTGAGCAATTGCCAGATACATGGAATTATCATATACTTCTCCAAGGCAATTGCTTGGAAAGACAGTGCTCTCGTGCTGTAATAAGATTTCATCTCTATGTTAAAAAAAAAAAAAATCAACAGCGACCTGATCTCATTATAATATAATCATGATTCATATGATATTTCTTTCATGTGTGTTTATTTCAAAAATTAGAAGCCAGACTTTGCATAAACCAGCGTTAAGCTTTGGCTATTGTCTTTCACCTGTAAGAATTTTCAGTCACTCAGCCCACATTTTTCACGCCACTTCTTTTTTCTTCATTCCACTCTTCCTAATGACAAGGCTAATGGAACAGAAATGCTGTCTCTGGAAAAGATGCCCAGAGTTCCCTTTACTCCTGATCTCTTGGAAGTAAAATTAAGAAGTAACAGGGAAAAGATTGAAAACATGCTTAATTTGTATTTAGACTGATCGTTTTTAGCTGAGCCTTTGTTCCTGAAGTGTCAGTATAGCCTAGTGCTTATTTTCATGATTAAGCTTTAAAATGTCCTTGGGTAAAAAGCGTTTGCCTTTAAATCATTAGACATGCAGACTGTGTCCTTCCGTGCACGATGGTGCCTGACAGACAGGTAAATAACATGGAGCTTCCTTTCGAAAAATCAGTTATAAATATTCAATTCAGAGCCCAAACCATCTGACGCCTCCCTCTGAGAGGTAAACAAGACTCTGCAAAGTGTTTAGAGAAAGAGGAAGAGGAAGCCAGCGGCAAGATGACACTGATGAAATACGCATCCAGTCCCTGTTCGGATAACTTGGCTTTTGTCATAATAAATTCTCTCGTGGTGGGCCGTGGGGGAGGAGGTTTCCTAGCAGCTGCCTGTTCAGCCTTTTGCAGGAGGGGAGAGGTGGAATGCAGGACCTGCACAATGAATGAACCCAGCCATTTTCCCTAGATTCCTAATTGCGTGTCTTTCAGTTTCTCAAGAGACTCTGAGGCTTTAGGAACCTACATGACACAGATGTCCTTCCACCCCTGTGTGTGTGCTTGGGGTCATTTTTCTCCTTGAAAGAATTTTCATATTGAAAGCTACATTTGGATCTGTATAAAGCTACAATGTTTTAGAACACATAGATAATAATAATTGTAGTAACAATGCCAGTGTATAAATATGTCTTAAACAATAGAAAAATGGGCAAAAATATGAACAAGTAATCTCAGAAAGCAAATTACAAGTGGGCAGTAGACCAACATACTAGAAGATGCCCAATCTTATTAAACACAAAAACCATAAAGGGGGACACCATTTTCTTCCTATAAGATTTGCAATATTCATTTATTTTATTTTATTTATTTTTTTATTTTTTTATTTTTTTTATTTATTTTTTT